CCCCGGGCCCTCAAGGCTAGGACTCCGGTCGTCCAGCCGGCGACCGTGCCTGGGGCGCGTTTCACCGCTCCCCTCGATGGTTCGGCCGGTATCCGTGTCGCCTGCTCTGGCCGCCGCCCGGTGGACGTCATCATCGTGCCGGGCCTGATGCTGGTTGCTGACGACACTGCGAGCATCCTAGTGTGGGCCGGGCTGCTCGTGTACCGGCGGTCGGTGTGGAGCAGGCGCCAGGTCAGACCGAGGCGCGGATGCTGCCTCCCGAGTCGCACCTGGTGGCTGTAGCGGTGAACGGATGGAGCGATTCATCTGGCGCGTCCTTGTTCCCCCGGTGGGGAGAGAGGGCGCGTGTTGGAGCCACAATGCGGAGCTTTCCGCCTATTGAACAGCGGTGGCTCAGGAACGCTGCTGGGGGTCGACGGGCTCAGGAACGCTGCGCAGGAGCATCGTTGCAGCAGCTATGTTCTGGCTAGCCCGAGCGAACTATGGGAGATCGTTCCCTTTGTTCATGATGTCGTGTTGGACCCGGCGGGCGCGACGCCGGGCGCCACCTGCTAGGCCATGCGCATGGGGTGCAACATGCTGCACCGAGCGCGCCAACGCAGGCGGCGGCTGCTTCTGCCGCCGTTGTTGTAATTCCTCGGCGTGCGCTTGCGGAGGGGTGTGAGTTTGCGCAGATTCCACAACCACCGGCGGCTGTCCCAGAGCGTCTGCCATAGCGCACTCCCGGGACGGACGGTCGCGAGGTGCCACGTCGCCGATGCTGGAGCCGTCGCTCTCACCCTCGTCATCCGGGAGTTCGTGGAGAGTGGCAGGAGCGTAGCTCGCCATTCCCATGAATTCGGATGTGAGGGGGGATGGTGCCAGCGTCCTTCAGAGCCCCCAAGTGTATGCACCCACGAGGGACGTGAGGCCATAGGGGAACCGATCGTACGGTGTTCGTGGCGTGAGCAATACGGTCCCTCTGGATGATCGGCGGAAGATAGCAAATAAAGAGTAAATAACAGTACGCATATTACTTACAGCGGGGTTTGAACAGAGAGTTTGCTCGGAATGAAGCGCAGATACCGCGTTGTTGAAGTCGTGCGTCCCGAAGTCGATGGAGGGCGCCCCTCCGACTGGTGCCGGAACGAGTGCCTCCTCGCGGAGGTGCAGTACGCCGAGCCGGTCGGCGACAAAGTGTAGGCTTCCGAGGAGGAAGGCCTGGGACGGCTCGAAGACGGGTGGAACCCACATCCCAATAGGTGGGAGTGCGGGAAAGTCCAGTGAGCCTAAGCAAATCGTATCGCCTGAGCTTGCCATGGCGAAGGTGGCAGAAAAGTGGGCCATCCGATAACCAAAAAGTATTGAACGTACAGCGTCTTCCCCATGGATGGCGCCAACTGTCGGTGCAGAAAGTGACCAACATGTAAATATTTGTAGTTTTACCGTACGTTGTGATCGGAGGTGGCCTAACACTCAATGACATAGGGTTTATACTGGTTTAGGCAACGTGCCCTACGTCCAGTTTGAGTCGGTCGATGACTTTATTCCTAAGCCTAGGTGCTCGAAGTTTGCAGTGGGGTTACAAACGAGAAGGAGAAAGATGGAGTGTACGAGAGGTCCGGTCGGAAGGGCCGAGAGCGACAGGAGCTCCGCTATGAGCTAAGTATTCAAGCATGTGCTTGAGGTCCGAACCTGGCGTTCTGTGGTTCTGAGCTAGTGAACTTGGTTTATCTAATGAATCTGGGATGGCTTGGAGAGCTTGGATTGACTTAGTTTTCTAGGAGAGAGTGCATCCCCTTTTATAGATGAAGGGGATGGCCTTACAAGTGAGAGGGGGAGAGTACGAATGCTTCTAAACCTTGTTGCCCACGCCGGCAGGTACAGGACGATGGTAGGCGCCCACAACACTGTTGGATGTCAGATGCATGTGGGAGATTACGTCGTCTTGTTTTGGGTATGGCAGATGTCGGTACCTGCATATACTGTTGATGCCCAGAGGCATGTGAGGAGTTCCACCATATTCGCTCGGTACGGTAAATTCCGGCGCCCATAACACTGTCGATGTCTAGAGGCATGTGGGGGCCTTACCGTATGAGAGTTAATGGCGCCCACAATACTGTAGAATGAAATGTCGGCGCCTACAACACTGTTTGTGTCAGGGCGGTTGCAGAGTACTGTTCCTACAGGTGTACAGGGTACGGTCCCTGGTATCGTGGTTTGACTTGTGCGCCTTGCCTTGCTTTTCTTCGCACATTTCCTGGTCCCTACCGAGCAGGCGTCCCCGGTCGGTTGGTCCCAGTCGGCTCTGATCATGCCAGTCCGAGAAGAGCGGTGGGCAGGGGCTGGGAGTATCCCCGGTCGGAGAGTGCGGGGTCGGAGTCGGAAGCGGTGCTTTTGGCCAGGCCTTCCGGTCGGAGAGGTCGTCCGAAGGCGGGCTGGAGACCAAAGCGAGCGCTCTGGTCGGAGAGGTGGGCCGGAGTCAGAAAACGGGCGCTGTTCCTCCTCGGCCTGGCCTTTCGGTCGGAGATTGGATCTTTCACCTGGCCTGTCGCTCAGGTATTTGGGTTGGCCCATGAGTTGCGTGCTGTCTGCTTGGGGCGAGCCTTTGCGGGAAAGCCGGTCCGCGAGGGACCCCTGGTTTATGAACCTGACACCGTGCTTTCCCTTGGCCTATAAAAGGGAAAGCAGGGCGCCCCACAAAGGGGATCGATCGATTGAGGCCAGACCCGATCGAACCATCATGAACCCATCGAACCTCAAACCGACCAGAACACAACACAAGCACACGCCTGAGCAGCAACCGAGCTCTCGGCACCCGTTCACTCTTTCAACCAGAGACTTGGGACCTTCCCTCTCTCGCCCGTTTGTAACCTCTACTATAAACTTTCAGTGCTAGTAACACGAGCAGCAACGACGAACTGGACGTAGGGACATTCTGCCCGAACCAGTATAAACCTCGTGTCATCTAAGCACACCATCCGAGCCAGACGCGCAATACTAGAAATTTACTCGTTGGTGGTAACTCAAAACACTGACAATATGTTTTTAGGCGTTTCATACATTTCAGAGTTATGTTGCAAGTGTTTGTATTAGTGTTGCAAAAGTAGATCAGGATGTTACAAAAGTAGGTCGGGATGTTGCACATGGTGCGATGACTATGCATATATGTTTCAAGTGTATGTTCCAAATATTTCATTTGTATTAGACGTATGTTGCAAGTGTTTTCATCTGAATATTGCAAAAGTAGATCTGCATGTTGCATATATATGCATGTTGCAAGCGTATGTATCAAGTGTTTCAGGTGTTTAATACGTCTGTTGCAAGTGTTTCATCTTGATGTGGAATATGTTTGCAATAGTTTTCAAGTGTTTTTCAGGTGTTCAAGTGTTTCAGACGCTTGTTTCAAGTGTTTCGCCTGTCTTCTTTGGTATGTTGCAACTGTTGCATATGGATATTTCAAAAGTAGATCGGGTATTGCATATGACATGCGCGTGACGTGGGAAGCTTCTGGCGGCGCGGCCGGGCCCGCTGGTGGGGCGCTCTAGCAAGTCCTACTCTCAAATAATTTTTAGTAGCTAAATGTTAGCCGCATGAGATCCAAATACTTCCATAATAGTCCCATAATCGACTTGCTAATTACTACTAGGGTACCTTATTTTCATGTACGGTACATGCGTATAGCAGTGACCAAATGGATGAAGACTTGTAAGCAGGCAATAATATTTGTTCCTCTTCTCTCGATCTACCTCCGCTCCGCATGACTTTTCTTGCATGAGCCATGAGGATAAAAGTAAGAACAGTGATCATTCGTCGGAGTGGACGAATGTTTTCCTTGTCTCTGCCACCAGTACAATCATAACGTTGATAGCGACGTGCAGCAGCCATGAGGCCATGCAGCAGCGGGCTTTAGCTTCTCGGATAGCGACGGCGTGGCCGTGGCGTGACCCGTCTTCCACCACGCCCGCGCCATTTGCTGCCGCAAGCCCCGTTACAGTGCCTGCTCCACTTTTGAAGCGCTCACCTTCCGCTGCGTTCGTGCCCTCGCCTGTGGGCTGCGGTGCAGCACGCATGCCCGTAGCTCCCTGCGCTGAGCCGCCCCTTCTCAGCCATCCTGCCACGCGGCCTGTTGCAGGCCACGACCGTGGCCATGCACGGCGTCCGTGCAGAGAACAAACCATGCCCGTGCACGGGTCCCGCATTATCGGAGGCATTGAGCGCGAGGCAGCCGGCAGTCGCATTGTCATGCGCAGGCGCCGAGCGCGACGGAGACTATGCGACTAGGAGACCACAGGTTTAACGGTGTGTGCATGGAGAGACTTAAAAGTAACGGCAATGACACATAGAGAGAAAAAAATATAAACCAATGGTAATGAAGCAAAACTCTAATTTTCAATAGCATATAAGGCAAGCGTATAGATTTCAATGACATTCAGCAAATTTTCTCTTACACCTAATACGCACAAATCGAGCCTAGACTAGTCAAGGGAGCCGCCATGCTGACAACACGCACCTAACCATGCATGCACATTGACAAATCGATCCTTGACAGCTCCTCTGATCTATGCTGGATTGCTGGAGCCTAGACAGCGGTCGTCCCTGGCGGGCGAGCTGTAGACTATTGACTGACTCATCATCAGAGATTCAGAGAACTGTACTAAAATAGTGTTCTGAAAACGTAGACCATGTATATAATATATATGTAGCAGTAGCCGACGATATATATATATGTTAGAATCAACTATAGCAGCATATATATATATATATATATATATATTGGTATGTTGTATGGAAGTCGTAGGCAGTAGCACATGTTTTTGAACTTTCCTAGTCTTTCACAAGTACCAAATTAGTTTATGTTTAGTCTTCTATTAGCATCCAAAACCTAGCTAATTTATCCAAACAGTCCTACGGAATGCCAGGCTGCCGGCCACTTGACGTTCGTCTACCAAGCTATATATAGGCACCTGACCTTGCTAGTATAGAAGAAATTTGTAGGTACTGGATTCTCTTGTGCAACCATGACAAGTGCAAGTGCTGCAGGCAGCGTGCACGAGATCCGCAGCGCCCAGCGTGCGGATGGCCCTGCAACACTGCTTGCAACCGGCACGGCTAACCCAGCAACCTGCATATCGCAGGATGCATACCCTGACTATTACTTCGGTGTCACCAAGAGCGAGCACCTCACCCAGCTCAAAGAGAAGCTCAAAACACTATGTAAGCATGCATGGAGCTCAATTTGTTTGTAACGTTTCATAGATCGCATCGCCGTTCATTCATATATATCTGCAGGCCAGAATTCAGGCACGGAGAAGCGTTTCTTCCACCACGACGAGGCGCTCCTGGCCGCGCACCCGGAGTTCCCGGACCGGGCGTCGCCGTCCCTGGACGCGCGGCTCGACATCGTCAAGACCGCGGTGCCGGAGCTCGCGGCGTCGGCATCGAGGAAGGCGATCGCCGAGTGGGGCCGCCCGGCCGCCGACATCACGCACCTCGTCGTGGCCACCAACTCCGGCGCGCACATCCCAGGTGTGGACTTCCGGCTGGTGCAGCTCCTGGGCCTCCGCGCCTCCGTGCGCCGAACCATGCTCTACCTCAGCGGCTGCTTCGCCGGCGCCGCCGCGCTGCGCGTCGCCAAGGACCTGGCCGAGAACAACAGCGGCGCGCGCGTCCTCGTCGTCTGCGCCGAGCTCACCATCATGATGTTCGCTGCGCCCGAGGAAGGCCACTTCCAGACGCTCATCAACCAGGGGCACTTCGGCGACGGCGCCGGCGCCGTCATCGTCGGCGCGGACCCCGGCCCCGCCGAGCGCCCGCTGTTGGAGATCATGTCTGCCGCACAAACCATCATCCCGGAGACCGAGGATGCCATCACCATGCAGCTCACCAGTGGCGGCCTCGGCGGCAGTAGCGTCCACAACAATCTCGGGGTGCTCGTCGGGAGCAACGTGGAGCGCTGCCTCTTGAACTCGTTTTCACCGCTTGGCATTGATGTTCCCAACTGGAACGACCTGTTCTGGGTTGTGCACCCGGGCACGGCAGCATTGCTACGCCAGATTGACGCAGTGTTCCAGCTCCAGCCCGACAAGCTGGCCGCAAGCCGACGTGTCTTGCGTGAATACGGCAACATGTTCGGCGCCACCGTGATCTTCGTGCTCGACGAGATGTGCAAGCATAGACACAGGGGTGGTGGTTCTGGTCCTGGTTGTGGTTCTCAAGTGGTCGACGGCCACCTCGACGAGTGGGGTGTCTTGATGGCATTCGGACCAGGAATTACCTTTGAGACGATGGTGCTGCGCGCCCCAAACAACCGCCTGCACAATGGCAAATATTCCATCCGTTCTAAATTATAGGTCGTTTTAACTTTTTTTGATATATTTATTTTATTATGTATCTAGACATAAGTACTAGCTATACCGTTTGGATCCACTGGTACTAATTTTAGCTACTATATTTTAGTGCTAATGGATTCAAACAGACCTAATTGGAACGGAAGTCATGTAGTATACATGGCTCCCATTTGTCTCCGTGGTGAATAAATTTCCATTTAGTTTTGTCATGTTTCTTCATTTTCCAAAAGAAAACAAGTCGAGGAATAGTTCATCCCACGAAGTAGTGCTACAAACAAAAAAGAATTGTCAGATCGAATTGATGGTTTTTGCAGCCGCCTATAGAAAGACACATTTATATAGCAAACTGCGGGGGACGCATCCCTAGTAACATGGTCCGTCACTAAAAATAATATTACTATTACTAATTAGAGGCTCAGCTCTCGCTCGACAAACTGGCCATGAGCCGATGTGTTTGTGGCGATGAGTAATGCACGTTAGTAAATTATGCAGCACGGTTTCCCAATGTTTGGTGTACTATTCTTATTTGTATTGTGGGCTATATTTGTTGTTTGTCTACATAAGGTGTTGAGTTCAAGAACTTTTAGGGGCAAGAGTTTGATATCTCCGACGAAACCCAGTTTGAAGTCAAGTGTCCTTGACCATACTTGCATCCACATTAATTTTATGTTGAGTTAGTGTAGTTGGACCATTAGTTGCATGCTGAGTCTAAATTTGAATCCTAAGTTGGGATTTATTAGAAATTCACATATCAGCCTTGGAACTTGGGTTGGTTGGGACACTACTAATTTTTGACCCTATCGCATCGCTTTGCCTTGCATCAAACACAAATCTGATGCAATAGGTGGTTGCTATTGCATTAATTTTGCAAATCTGATGCAATAGGTGGGCATTTCAGATTCCAGGAGCTCGTACTTTGGTTATAGTCATGGGCCAAATATTTTTTCGGTTTCCCCCAAAGGGGCACACATCCGCTGAAATAAGGTACTTCGAGCTCATCGGGTATTGGGAGATTTACGTAACACAGAGTGTCAGAGGTTTTAGGATCAGACTGTTGACCCTCGTGAATACCCCCTGACTCTGGAGGGGCAGGGTCGATAGTGAATGAATCACCAGCCGGGCCGAGTACCCGATCTGAGTGTCAGATCACTCGCCTACACCGGCTCGGGTGACGGTGCGTCGGATTTTGGACCTTTTGGTCCCACAACGTCCGCGGTTACGCGGATGGGTTCCTTCTCTACGAAGTTGAGGCGTCGGTTTGGGCGGCTCGTCTCCCACGCGTCTATCTCGGAAGCTGTGCCTCTCAGAGATCATGGGGGCGTAGCCGGTCCTTCACTCCCACTTTTGCCCGTGGAGACTGCTGGATTCCATCGACCGTGTGCGTCCCCTGCCTATAAAATAGAGGAATAGAGGAGGGGAGTTAGTATATTTGCATAGTAGCCTTTGCACGCTCACATTCCTTCGCTCGTTGCATCTCTTGTGGTCATCAGATCTTGCCTACCGTCCATGGCCAGAGAGAAGCGCCAGCGAGAGGAGCCTGAGGAGGGATCTGCCAAGAGGGGCGTGCCTCCCTCCGCTTGGGCCTTCCGCCTGGGCTTGATGGGGTTCGGGTAAGGATAGATCTTGCTATTGACTTCGTCGGTGTTGAATCTGATGCATTTCTTGGAGTAGTGGTTTCTCATCGGCGCACTCGATGCCGTGGCCCACCGCCGTCCGAGAGGCCCTGTCGCTGTCACATCCCCTGGCAACGCAGGCCGTGCTGCTGCTGGCCTCGCCTTCTTCCTTCGATGATGAGGAGGCCGAAGGAGACGAGCACGACATCCATACTGTACGAGAGGAGCTGTCCATGGCCGGGCAATCCCCCCGGAATGGGTGTTGGGAGGTGGAACGACTGAAGGAGTGCCTCACGACGTCCGAGACCGCTCTCGGCGCTGGGGACGTGGAGGCTGCCGACGCCAGGGCCACCAACGCGGCGACCCGCACCGAGCTCACCGGTGAGTTGAACTTCTTTGCTTCTTTTGCGAAAATTGCTTCTCATCTTGACTTTGAACCTCTACGTTTCTCAGCGATTCAAGGGTAGCTAGGTGCTGTCCTGGCTGAAGCGGCGGATCTTCGCCGTGCTAACGAGGAGTTGGCTGGCAGACGGGTAGAAGTGACTCATCTCCGTGATGAGTCAGTGGATTGGGCGCGTGGCGATGCAGCCATGGCGTGAATTAATAGCAACAACTACGTGGCACTGGAGAGGGCAGTGGAGGCCGTTGTCAGGTTGGTGCAACCGACGGGGTTAGACCTTCGTGAGCAGGCTCTTGGCCTCTCGGCGCGAATCAAGGTGACGGCACATGGCGTTCGCCATGGGGCCTGACAGCCCTTTCTTGCTGCTCTGCCCTTAAATCTTCAATGGGAGGTGGACTTGCATGCTTGTGGAGCACAGGTTCCCATCGTGGACGGAGGTGCCCGAAGATATCGACGTGAGATGGCTAATAACCGATTTCGGTGTCGCTGCCAGTGCCATTGCGGCGGTTATAAATGTAGAGCAAGTCATCAAGGACACTCCTCGTTGAGGTCAGGTCCTGTTGGTTTGCTTTTTGTGTAAAATATTATCTAAATAAAATTTTGCTTTGCAGACCGGTAGTTGCGTGATTGTAATTGTAGCCCCCGAGCACTCGGGCAGATTAGTATAACATGTTTGAGTGCTGAGACCACACACATTATCGTAACTATTTTGGCGTTGCCATGTCAGTGCAAAGCCCCCGACCATGAGTGTCGATTGGCCAGTGTGGCTTTACTCGGGAGGTGATGTTGCGTAGCATTTGGACATAGCCTCTATGCTGTTCTTTAGGAAAGTGTTTCCCTAGCTGTCTGAGGCGTAAAACCCTTTCATGCATAGCAACCGTATATATATTTATTTTTTAAAGGTGGGAAAGCAACGATTAGTGCGTATTAACAACACTGGTGTTGTTTGCCCTGTTGTCTTTGTTCCTCCTCTGCTCGGGGTTGACCTGACGTTTTTTTGCAGTTTGCACCATTGGTACTCTAGGCCCCGGTTACGGGGTTCTCCCTGGCGGCTGGGTCGTCTTTATCCTCTTTTGGTTTTGCTTCTTCGGGCAAGTTGGGTGCCTCTGGTGGCACCAGTGTAGCCGGTGAAGCAGAAACTGTGGAATCGGGAGGTAAAACGCTAGCCGGGGGTTCTGGCGTGAGCCGGTGCTCTGGGGATCGAGGCGAGCGTTAGGGCGTTCCCAAGCTTGTCTCTTGTTTATCCTCGTGAGCATGTTTTGACTCATCCCAAGATTAGGTCTTGTTGGGCCTATTCAACAGCCAGCCTCTCGCGGTCTTGAAAACTACTCATGACGGTGATGACACCGTGGGGGCCTAGCATCTTGAGCTTGAGGTAGGCATAACTCGGGATTGCCATGAATTTGGCATTGCAGGGTCTCCCGAGGATGGCGTGGTAAGGACCCTCGAAGTCTACGACTTCAAAGGAGAGTGTCTCCTTCCTGTAGTGTACCTGGTCACCAAATGTGACAGACAGAGTTATCGTGCTGAGGGGCATAACTCGTCGTCCGGGGACAATCCTATGGAACGGAGAATGTGGGGGACGCAGTTTGCTTGTCTCGATGTTCAGCTTCTCGAACACATCCTTGTAAAGGATGTTTACGCCGCTTCCTCCGTCCATGAGGACTTTGGTCATCTTTACGTCTCCCATGACCGCACTGACCACTAGAGGGAACCAACCGGCCTCGATGACATGATCAGGGTGGTCGTCCCTATTGAAGGTGATCGGGCGCTCCGACCATCTTAAATAAACATGAACTGCAGGCGCAGTGGCAAATATGAGACGTCGGTTTACCTTTTCACGATGGTGGCCCTCGTAGGCCTGTGGGCCCTCGAAGATGATCATGACACCCTCGATGTTGGGTAGCCACCTTCTTCATCCTCAATGGCGCTGTCCTTCCGTTTCTTCAAGCGACTCCCTTCATCTTGTCCTTGCCAGCTTCAATGATCTCATGTTTGTAAGTATGGCAGTCCCTGGCCAAGTGATTCACCGGGAAACCATGGGTTTGACATGTCTGGTTCATGATCTTGTCAAATTTTGCACGACCTCCATGACTTTGTTTGAATTTGTTGCCTTCTTGTTTCTTGACGTTGGCCACAAGCTCGCCTCGACGCTTACGATCCTTCTTGGTTAGTGGGGATTGATCCGCGTTGTCGGTGAGTTGCGACTTTATATTTGCTGTTACTGGAGTAAAGCAATCTTCACCATCGGCGTGCTCGTGGGCTAAGGCGAACATGTCACAAAGACATATGTTCTTCCTTCACCCAATGTCTTGAATGAGGGGTTCGCTGTTGACGCCGGCGGTGAAGGCGGTGACATGCTAGCATCGGGGACATCCTCTAGCCTATTCTTGCGCTACGTGAAGCACTTTATGTAATCATAGAGACTCTCGCCAGTCTTGCGTTTGCATTCTAGGAGGTCCCACGAGGTGCCTGGCTTAGTGTAAGCCCCCTAAAAGTGATTACAGAATGCCTTTTTGAGGTCAGCCCATCGCTTGATCGTGCCTTCCCGAAGGTTGTTTAGCCAGTTTCTGGTGGAGCCAGTGAGGTAGATCGGAAGGTACTGAATCATGAAAACGTGTCAGTGTGGACACCGCTTTCATGGTGAGTTGGTAGTTTACCAACCAAATCTTCAGGTCTGTCTCACCATTGTATTTTTCAATGTGGGGAGCATGAAACCTACAGGGCGTTGGGGCTGACCGGATTCGGTATCCGAACATAGGGTGTCCTACCAAGTCACATGGATCGACCCCGGTAGCGCGTGGCGTTGGCTCGGGTCGGTTCCTAGGA